CGCGTCTTCGCATCACGAAAAAGTCCGAGGAAAAGCCAGGTAGGTTGACCCCGGTAAGGTCGTGTTGCAGCAGAGCGATGCCTTACCCTGCATTTCCATCACACTAAAAAGTATAGAATGAAGAACGCGGGTGACTGTTTATTGTTATAGGCTACTGCCGGGTACCTGCTACGACAGAGAGCAATAAAGCATTCCGGTAAAGCTGTAATGCAGAAGAATGCGGGGAAGAAGAAAACGGAAATCGCTATGCTTTAACATGGTGACTTCCGTTTTCTTGTTCCCTGCATTCTTCTACATTTCAGTTTTGCCGGAATGCTTTATTCCACTCGTAAGGGTGGTAGGTATTGTGTTTTTCTCCACCAGTAGAGTTGTTTGGAGCATGCAATTAAGACATCCCCCCCCCCGGCCCCCCAAAAAGTGCATTTTCTTGAAACAAGTATACTTGCACTCAATTCATTCGAGTGCATGCACTTGTTTCGAGAAAAGGGACTTTGTTTAAGTACCTGCTCTTTTGGTTGTGGTGGGTTTGAAGATTACCGTTCTACCACGAGGATTATTTTACATCGCTCGTCTGTATACTTGTATTCACACCAGTAATGCAGCGCAAAATATCAAAATTTAGTTCCCGAAAGAGTGTTGGTAAATGTGCAAACATGCCACAATGGTAAGTGGGTATTATGGCTCGATGAAGGGTATATTTTGTTTATATAAAGTTGCGAGGACAAAGTGTGACATGAAAAGAATGGACAGAATTCTGAATTTGTTTGCAGGAAGGCCGTCCGTCCGTATACCTGCTGTGAGCGGTGCGGATCATTCATTCACCACCACAGGCGATCCTGGGAGCCCCAGAGAGCCAGCCACAACAGGAGCGCATAGACCGGTGCCGGTGCGGTGGCGCGTCTGGGACGGCCGTGAGACGCCCATCAACGCCTATGGCCGGCGTCCGGGACACGTCATTCTTTAATACTTGTCCCCACGGAGAGGCGGCCCGGCCGGTGGCAGGAAGGAGGAACAAGGAGGCGGTAGGCGGTGTGCGAGGAAGCGTCCGGAGGGTAATGTGCTGCCGGAGCGGGCGGGCGAGCGGTGCCGCGAGGGACACGCGCGGAATGTGTCGCCCGTCGTGTCCGCGACCTTGACGTCGGGCGCAAGAGAGACCCACCGCACGCGCACCGGGCGAGTGGCACACGCGACTCGGCACGGGGGGCCGCTCGGAACAAACGGTGGTGTGCGCGGGGAAACAAAGGAGGGGCACTGGAAATGCTGCTGGAGTGAGTGATGTGTCTCGCCGAAAGAGAGAGAGAGAGAGAGAGAAAGACGGAATTTCTCGTTAAAGCCCATAATAATTGGAGCGTTGTCCGTTTTCGCATCGTTCCATTGAAGTGATGAGTATGAGAACTTTGTTAACTGGTGATAGTTTTGAATCATCTCCTCCTTTTGAGCAACGGTCGTCATGCAAAATAAGGCAATGTTCCAAAATCATCACTCAAATGAAGCGATACGAGAGCAAAGCGTGACTCTCCTGCCAGTAGAAACGAGATTTGAAGCAATTCCAAGAGCGACGCGCGTGACTCTTGCACTAAAGGTGCTTAACGTTTTCGTTGCAGCTGCAGACCAGCCGGGGCCACTGCGACGTTGCACCCCTTGCAACGCAGCACCAATTGCAGTGTGCAACGCTGCACCACTGCAACGCTGCGAGTTACGGGGAGCAGAGCCAAGGGGGATACCAAATGGATCCGGCACTTGCCAATTTATCTTCCTAATTTTCTCACCCCCTCTCTCTCTCTCTCTCTCTCTCTCCCTCTCTCTCTCTCTGTCACTTACTCTCCTTCTAAATTGCTGGTGCTCTTGAGATCCGACGAGCCCGTGCGGCCCCGAGCGACCCGGGGGAGGAAAGGGAGTTAGAAAGAGGGGGGGGGGGCGCAAGCCCTGCCAGCAGGCTGCAAAGCACAGTATAACAGAGTGCGAGCAGACTGTCAGCGGCGCGGGGATCGCTCGTTCACTCACAGGCGCGGCAGCAGCCAGCCGCACACCGCCGCCGAGCGGGTCCGAGCCCGACAATCTATTTGGAGAGCGCAGTAGTCGACTTTACGGTCGAATTTATTCACATTTTCATGGCGGTAGCGCGGCGTTTGTGCGTGTACGGTTATGAAACGTTTATGCCGCGCCACGACGTAATATTTTTACAGCTCCTTCCTCTCAATCTCTCTCCCGCTCGGACAGCGCCGCTCCTCGCCCTGTCTTCTCTCGCTGTGCTCCCC